ACAATTCTGCCCACAAAGAGAAGAAGAGAAGGGGGAAGAGAAGAGATGACTGCAGGAGCTCCATCTTGCTCCACGTGCCCCAAAAGGCAGCGGCAGCTCAACTGCTTCCCTTCCCCACAATGGGAAGCATGGCAGAACCACGTGCTTCATGGAAGGGCGTAGAGAAGGCAGGCAAGCGGGCCTGGCCATGTGGACCACCAGGAAGGCAGGGAAGCATGGCTGGCCCATGGGGGAAGTAGCTGGGGAGAAGACTTACCAGGCAGAGATCAGTTGGGCTGTGTGGTCAAGGCAAGCAAGGGAATCAGAAAGCAGCAGCAGCTATGCTGCGGGCATGACTCTAGGCAGGCGAGGCGCAAAAAGGAGTGGGAGGGGAGGGGCCAGCCAGTCATGGCATTTGCTAGTTCACCGAACTGCATATATTCGTTACTACTGGTTCAGGAGAACGGATCCGAACCAGCTGAATGCCACCTCTGCTTGCCAGAAGTAACTCAGAATGTAGAGGCAAACCAGGGGGAGTTGGTAGTAGAGGAATCCAGCAGAGATATACAATTGTTTTCATTTGGAAATAAGGCACCCACTCTGCCTCAGGAAGAACAAATACCTCTAACTAAAGAAGTAAAAGAAACAATAACTGAGGATCTAAAACAACACAAAAACATCATAATAAGTCTGCCTGCATTGAAGCTTGTTCCAAAGAAACAGCTAGCTCAAGCATTAACAGATGCAAATACTGAAAATATCAAGTACAGGTAGTCCTCGAGTTACAACCATAATTGAGCCTAAAATTTATGTTGCTACGTGAAACATTTGTTTTGCCCCATTTTATGACTTTTCTTGCCACAGTTGTTAAGTGAATCATAGCATTTGTTAAGTTAGTAACATGGTTGTTAAGTGAATCTGGAGTCCCAATTGACTTTGCTTGTCAGAAGGTCTCAAAAGGTGATCACATGACCGCAGGACACTGCAACTGTCATAAATATGAACCAGTTGCCAAGCATCTGAATTTTGATCATGTGACCCTGGGGATGCTACAATGGTCATAAGTGTGAAAAACAGTCTAACTCACTTTTCTTAGTACCACTGCAACTTTGAATGGTCACTAAATGAACGGCTGTAAATCGTGGAATACCTGTATAAGCACCAACTCATTTCAAGAAACAAACAAAATAATGTACAGCAAAACTGCAATTATAACTGAATACCTGGGATGTAAAATCAACAAAGAAGAAAAAAACCCAAACTGCACCACAAAAAATTGAAGATTACACAGGAAATTAAGATCAGCATGTTGAGATCAGATGCAAGTAAGCTAGAACCGATGAAAGAAAAGAAGCTGAAGGAAAAGACCAAAGAATAGCTAATCAAGAAATACCACTTAGAAAGGAAGATCAAGGAAGCACTGGAAATAATAAAGCAACAAATAACAGCTATAGCCAAGAAGATCAGCAGATATGAAGCTCAAATTGCAAATTATAGGCAGAACCTCCAATTTCAATCCAATCAGAAAAGTTTCTACCAATCCATCAGTTGAAAAACTGCAGTGAATCAGTCAGTACCTGTTGAGGTAATTCCACGTTAGGAGAATGAGTGCACACAGGGAGACCTAGTGAGAGCAGTGAAGAATAACACACACACAGCACACAGCCACACTGTATAGTAAAATGTAGGCTTTTACTTCCAGTAAAACGGTTAAGCAAAGTTCAACAAAACAGTCCAAGTCATTCACGGTTAAAGCTGTCAGTTTTCAGTCCAGGGATAATCCAAATATCAAAGTTCAGTATCAAAAACAGTTCAGTAACAGACTTACATCAAATCCAAGAATAACAGTCAATAGGGAAAATTGGAGGACAGGCAACACTCTCCAGAAACACCAGAACAGGACTAAAACAACCCAGGTTTCTGGCTCCATCTTATGGCCATTTGCAGAACCACACCGAATTACAGTTTTAGCATTCTCTTAAAGAAACAGTATTCAAACGTCTATCCTGGTTTAGATATTTTCCAATCCAACTATTAGGTTACATTCCTAACAGTATCTGACAAGGAAGAAACAGTACAGTTCTGTGTGCAGATATGGGATAACCCAAAGAAATGCAACAAGGATGCAGCTTGGTTAAAAGAGATGGATCAGTATAAAAAAAAGTTGAAATGAAAGAACGAGTAATAACAGCAGAAATAGTAGAGAAAAGAACAAGGAAGATCAAGGTCAGCAGCAGATGAACTGCATGGCTTTTGGTTGAAACATCTAATTGCTCTATACCCACTTGTTGCCAAGCAATTTAACAACATACTACAAGGTGAAATTGATAAGTGACTAACATCTGGGAAAACCTACCTGATAATGAAAGATCCAGCAAAAGGGGAAGCACCAGGCAACTACAGGCCAATTACCTGCTTACCAACAACTTTCAAATTGTTAACTGGTGTGGTAGCTGATGCAGTCCAACAGCATCTAGTTGAAAACAATCTTTTTCCACCTGAGCAGAAAGGAAACCGCTGAAACAGTAGAGTAACAAAAAAGATCAACTCCTAACTGACAAAATGATTTTGGAAAACTGCAAGGAAGACCAACCTGAATGTAGCATGGATTGACTACAAAAAGGTATCTGACTCTCTGCCACATGATGTTAATCAAGTGCCTAGAAATAACAGGAGTCAATAGAAATATCAGAAACTTTGTGCAAAGATCGATGGCACAATGGAAGACACAGTTGCAGGTCAATGGTGAGAGACTGGGAGAGATTACTATCAAGAGAGGAATCTTTTAAGGCAGGGGTCACCAACCTTTTAGACCTCAGGGACCACCAAACTCGTAATTTTAAATCCCGAGGACCGCTAATATAAATTTTAAAAAAAGATAATACATTTAATATAAAATGTTAATATATATGTGTGTGTATGTCTATGTGTATATGTATATATGTTTTCTTAAGTTTTCGCGGGTACTTACATGTATGGTATTCAGCTTTGTTCGGGTATTTAGTTAGACCTATTTAGTCCATAGGTCTGTTCATCTTCTAGTTCATCTTCTATGGAACAGCTGTCCTGCCCTACATAAGAAGTACTACAGACAAAATCAGCAAGATACTACACAGGCATCACATCAAGACTGACTTCAAAACAGACAGAAAAATAGCAGCCATCCTAAGAAACCCCAAAGATAAAATTGACCTGGAAAACCAAGGCATATATGAAGTCCTCTGTGCATCATGCCCTGCCACATACATTGGACAGACCAATAGAAGAATAAGTACCCACCTGGATGAACACAAAAATGCAGTAAAAAAGCTGGAACATACTTCCTCACAAGTCCAACACATGGAAGCAACTGGTCATAGCATCGACTTCAATGGCACCAAAACCCTAGCCACTATAGAAAACCCCAGCCACAGAATTATCAGAGAAGCCATAGAGATTGAAAAAAGACCTGAAAGCATGAGTAGAAGAGATGATTCCACCAGACTGTCATTTATTTGGAAGCCTGCACTCACAAACAAAAAAATCTCCACACCACAAGCCAGGCAAACACCTGGGCACAAACAGACCCCTCCCTGATACCTCCAGCTCAAACACATCCCAACCAAGCACCCAGATGAAACCTAGCTTCCTAACTAATGATAGCCATCCATTTACCCGGAGCCAAGCTGCACTAAAGGCCTCCAATACAGGAACACATGTTGCTAGCCAATCAAGACAAAAAAAGCCACAAAACAGACAGAAGATATTAGAAACACCAATCAAGCAGAACACAACAAACTCCAAGACCAATAAACACAGACCAAGACTCCCAACCAATCAGGATTAAGAAAAAACCATTCTGGCACAGCAGTAGGCTAGCCCCAAATTTAAAACTGAAAGGGCTGTGAAAGTCTGACTCACAGACGAACACAACACAGAAGCCTGATGATGGCAGATGAGATTCTGCCGAAACATTGCTACAACTTTAAAAGCACAACTATAATGACGTGGGAAAATACGCGAACAAAGCTGAATACCATACATGTAAGTACCCGCGAAAACTTAAGAATATATATATATATATATAACAATGGCCTGGTGGTCATGTGGGTGGGTGTGGCCAAGCCGACACCACTTCTTTGCCCTTGTTGTTCTCTCTCTCTCATTTCTCTCCCTCTCTCTCTTCTCTTTCTCTTGTCTCAGTCCCCGGGAGTGGGGAGGGGAAAGGTGGTGGGAATCTGACATGGTTGGTCGTCTTGACTTTGCTGCGGAAGGTAAGCCGAAAGAGCAAAATAAGGTGGGAAAAGCTCCAGGTTGTTTTGAGTGCCTCCTCAGCCGTCTGGGGAGATGGGGAAACTCCTAAGGAACTGGCCCCGTGGGGCGAGCTTCGTTGATTCTGCCGGCACTTACAGAAGTGGCCGACTCATGCCGCAGAGTTGCGGAAGGGAGAAACTCTTGGAGGAAAGTTCGTCAAAAGTTGCAGTCCTCCCCCTCCCCAAATCCTGAAGATTGCCAGGTTAGAGAAGGGCTGTCAGGGAAAAGGGCGACAAGAGGCTTTCCTCTCTTGCATTGTGACCTTTGGCACGTCGGGGTGTCAACTTTGCAGGGATTTTTGCTTTTTCTCTCTCTCTCCCGCCGCCAGTACCACCCCCGTTGCCGACATGGGTGCGACCGGGTGAGTGTGGGTGGGGCCAACCAGGGGTGATTGTTCCTACCACCTGGTGCGAGGTAGCCGAATTTCACCACTGCTTCGGAGGCTTCAAACGAGGGGAGTGAAGGAAGGGGAGGCTTATAATCATGGTTTTGATTATAAGCCTCCCCACTCCCCTCGTTTGAATGCTGCCCCAGGCCGACTGGGAACCAATTTGGAGGCCAGTGAGCCCCGCCCCCCTCTTGCCTTGGAGAAGTCCTTTCCCAGCCTTCGAAATTGGTTCCAAAGGCAGCAAGGAAGCCGCAGGGGGCTGTTGCCAGCCACGTTTGAATGTCGCTCCCCTAACTTGGAGATTGGAGAACAAATGCTACTCACATTTGCACGGCATTAGCGAAGGGGTGGGGGTGAGGGGAAAGGATCCTCTGAATTGGTGTCACCTCCTGCCTCTTGCCTCCGCACATAGAGGAGGTTGAGCGGCTGCCAGCGATGCCCTCAAGGGAAGATGTTGCAAGGGGAAGACTCGACCCACCCCAGGAGCTTCTCTTCCTCCACCAGAAGCACTCACATGCAAAGTGCTCACTGCTCCTCTGGCCCCCGACAAGCCGCCTCCTTCCCAATGAGCGTGTGAGCACTTCCGGCGAGGAGGAAGAGAAACTCCTGAGGGCAGGGGCGTGGGAGATCATGGCACTGGAGCTCTTCCTGGGTGTTTCCTGGCCTGCGAGGGGAGGGCGTGATCTCCTGTGACCCCTCCCAGGAGCTTCTCTTCCTCCTTACCAGAACCGCTCATACACAAAGCGCTCACCGCCCCTCTGGCCCCCGACAAGCCGCCTCCTTCCCGCTGAGCGTGTGAGCACTTCTGGCGAGGAGGAAGAGGGGGTCAAGCCTCCCCTTGCACCATCTTCACCTGAGGGAAGTTTCTTCCTGTGGCTTAGGAGGTCCGCGCTCTTCCCGCTGCTGCTGGGCCTTCTCGATGCGCTGAGGCAAGAGGCAGCAGCCATGACACGGGAGAATGCAGGATTGCCCCGCCTCCCTGCCTCAGCATGCTGTGGCCCGCCAAAATTTTCTCGTGGCCCACTGGTTGGCGACTGCTGTTTTAAGGAGACTCACTATCATCACTACTATTTTTCATTGCACTTTTTCCTCTGTCAACAATACTGAATAACTCAGGCCATGGCTATCAAACATCAAAAACATTTGCCAGACTATCCCACCTCCTTTATATGGATGATCTGAAGCTGTATGGAAAAACACCATCTGAAATAGAATCGCTGCTCAACACTGTCCGTGTATAGATAGCCAAGATATTGCAATGGAGTTAGTGAAAAATGAAGGAATCAAGATGCCCCATGAAAATAACATTAAGAGTCTGGATGATGATGATTACTACAAATACATGGGTAGCCTTCAAGCTGACAACATCAAGCACACTGAAGTCAAGAAAAAGATTAGCGGTGAATACATCAAGAGAGTGAAAAAGATCTTAAAGTCCAAACTCAATGGAGGAAACACCATCAAGGCAATCAACACCTGGATAATTCCAGTCATTAGGTACACAGCCGGAATAGTGAACTGGACTCAAGTAGAACTAAAAGCAATGGATAGGAAGACCAGAAAAAAATGACAATGAATCATTCCCTTCATCCTCATAGCGACATTGACAGACTCTACCTACCAAGGCAAATAGGTGGGCATGGAATGTTGCAAGTACATCAGATGGTTGAAGAAGAAAAAATGGCTTTGGAAGAATATCTGAAGGACAATGAAGAAGATGCACTGACGTTAGTATACCAGGAAGGCTTACTGACTACTGGAGAGACCAAACTGGCCTACAAGAAAGACCAAATTGAGAACAGAATGGATGCATAGGAAGACAAAGCACTACGTGGCCAATATGTTTAAAAAATATCAGGGAAAGCAGGTAATAACAAGACCTGGCAATGGCTAAGAGCAGGAAAGCTGAAGAAAGAGACTGAGGGACTAATTCTGGCAGCACAAGACCAAGCCTTAATGACAAATGCATACAAAGCCAGAATTAAAAAGACAGCAACAGACAGTAAGTGCCGCCTATGCAAGCTGAAGAAACAGTGGACCAACTGGTAAGCTGCTGCAGGAAGATAGCACAGACTGACTACAAGCAGTGGCATGACAAACTAGCAACAATGGTGCATTGGAAGATCTGCAAGAAATATCATTTGCCTGAAAGCAAGAACTGGTGGGACCATAAAATAGAGAAAGTCATAGAAAATGAAGTTAAATTGGGCTGGGACTTTAGAATTCAAACAGACAGGCACCTGCCATATAACATAACAACTGTTGGTAAGAAAGACAAAAAAAGTCTGGATAGTGGATGTGGCAGAGCCTGGAGACAGCAGAAGAGAAGAGAAAGGAACTATAGAAGATGATAAAATACAAAGACCTACAAATAGAAATAGAATGACTGTGGCAAAGACAAGCAAGGGTAGTATCAATAGTGATAGATGCCTTGGGTGTAATCCCAAAACAACTGGAACACCACTTGAACACCATTGGAATTGACAAACTCACCATCAGTCAATTGAAAAAGGTGGATTTACTCAGAACAGCTTCCATCCTGCAACAATATCTGTAACACCATCAAACATCCACATCTGCCTATCCCAGGTCCTTGGAAAGGACTCGATAGACAAAAATGCCAAATCCACTCTAAAGATTAGGCTGACTCTGTGACGAAACATAATAATAGAAGAACTGGAAAAAAATCACAAAATACAGGTAGTCCCCCTTGTTAAGTGAATTTTGCCTCATTTTATGACCTTTCTTGCTACAATTGTTAAGTGAATCACTGCAGTTAAGTTAGCAATGTGGTTAAGTGAATCTGGCTTCCCCATTGACTTTGCATGTCAGTAGTGATCACATGACCCCGGGACACTGCAACTATTATAAATATGACTCAGTTGCCAGGCATCTGAATTTTGATCATGTGACCATGGGGATGCTGCAACAGTTGTGTGAAAAACGGTCATAAATTAATTTTTTCAGTGCTGTTGTAACTTTGGTCACTAAATGAACTGTTGTAAGTTGAGGACTACCTGTACATGTATCAATTCCAATATCTTTTAGCACACTTATCCCAGGTCCTTGGGAAGGACTCAATGGGTGGAGTGATGCAGGTTCAAGTCCACCCTCAGCCACAGAAACTCACACTGGATAACTTTTGGTCATTCACTCTCCCTCAGCAAAACCTACGTCCCAAAGTTGTGGGGAAAAAATGAGAGGAAGTAATCCTATGCATGCTGCCTTGAGCTCCTGAATGAAAGATAGGGTATAAATCGTACAAACAATCCACAAACCCAAATGGGGTTTACTCAGGGCCTTTACTTACCTTATTCTTACAACGCAGAAAGGCGTGGTACTTGTAGTGGTGAAGGGAATGGTAGAGAGTGTAGAAAAGGGACTTCTCTGCTTCCACACTGAATTCCTGTCAGCAATAAGGACAAAGAGTGAAGTGAAACCACTGCATGTTACATTTCTGTACAACTTTACAACAGCCATGAACTTCTAAAGTCTTATATTCAATATTCCCTCTGAGTGATTAATTTTACAAAAACACATAGGAAGTTTTCACCTGCCCACATCTTCTCATTTAAGTCTTTGTTAAACTGATTAACAAAGTTAAAACTCTTTCCTTCCTGTTACATAACCCCATCCCCACCTCAATACCTGGAATTTCAATTAGGGCAATCAATGGGCCTGGTCATGCAGGAGAATGAGGTGCAGGGATGAAGCCACAGAATCAGGTGTTGGATGGACAAGGTTGTTTCAAACTGCCAGAGGTGGGGATGAAAGATGCCATTGTAAAGTCCATTTTATAATTTACAAGAGATATATTTTTTTTCCAAGTTAAAAAACATAAATGAGCATCCACACTGTGGAATGGAGTATTCAAAAATATGATATGAAAAGATAGATTTTCTTACCCCTCACTTTCATGTCCATCACTAAGATTCCACTCTTAACTTACCTTCTTTTACGCCCCTTTCCTGCCAAAATCTACTACATAGCTTTCCAAAAGTGATTTCCTCCTGAAGGGATAGGCTCAAACTTCCATAACTGCTACATCTGTTGGCTGAGAAATCTACTACTATCATTCTTCCATCTACACTAGTTTACTTCACAAGTCCTGCATTGGTTAAGCCTTTCATCTCCACAGCTGTTAATGGCAAGAGACTTATATTATATCTCTTTTCCTTTCTTCTGCCCATTTTTAGGACAAAGTGCATTTCAAGCCAGTGTAAAAGCAGGGAGAAAAAAAATTCCAGAGATGTTGCTAATAAATAGTGGAAATTTGTAAATCCTAATGGTTTCTTAAGACTATCAAGATCTGAGTATTTTCTTCCCTTAAAGACATACAGGTCCTCACTTAATGACCCTTTGTTCAACAACCATTCAAAGTTACAATAGTGCCAAACCAATGGTAGTAATGGCCAGTCCTTGAGGCTACAGCCGTTGCAGTACCCCTGTGGTCACATGTTAAAAATTTGGGTAATGCCTGCCTGCATTTGTAACTACAGTGTGTGCTTCAACTCCCCTCACCTGCCAATTTCCCCCCCATCTCTGATCTTTTGGATGTCCTGCACTCCACTGCCACCTACTCCTCCTGCCTCCTACCGCTCTCAGCTGATCTTTGCCTTCTTCCTCCTGCTGCTGATGAAGCATGCCCAGAGGCCTCATAGTCTTGTGGAGGTCTCACAAAGGGCCAGATACTGTCTTGGCTGAGTGCACCTCATTAATAGTAGGAGAAAGAAGACAGCAAAGGTCAGCTGAGGCTGGTGGTGGAGCACAGGGCAGCCAAAAGGCCAGAGATGGGGAGAAAGACATGCGGGTGGGGGGAGTTGGACCAGAGGTGAGTGCAACAGGGCCAGAGAAGTGTGAGATTCTCACCTAACGTTGGCAACTGAGACTAAAGGAACTACCATCACTAAGTGGTGCAGTCACAGGGGTGGGATTCTATCAGTTCGCACCTATTCGCTAGAACTGGATGTTAACATTCTAAGCAGTAAGGAGAACCTGTTGTTAGAAGAAATTACTGGGCTAATCCTGTAAGGAAGGAAACATTCTGGTGTTGCTTACAGAAATTGCCTCTCCGTTAACCCTTATTACATTCTTGGCAGGAATAGACTTCGTGTCTCAGGAACATCTCTGGAGTTTTTTCCCCCTCCTTTGCTGGTACTTTGCTTGTGTGGAGTGACCATTCAAAGTTACAGTGGCACTGAAAAAAGTGACTTATGACCATTTTTCACACTTACGACTGTTGCAGCATCCCCACACTCATGAGAGGCCAGGCAAGGAGATGTGTGCCTCGATGTGAGTTATATTGAGTTGGCCACACCCAGCCAATAACATGACCAACAAGCCATGTCCACCCAGTCACATGACCACCCAGCCACGCCCACCACCTAAGCCATGCCCACAAAACCAGTTGTTAAAAAATTTGAATCACATGTTTAGTCTAATGACCATTTTACTTAGTGATGGAAAC